ATCCGTACGGAGGGCCTTACTCAGGAGGATCGGGAGGAGGTTGGAATGGTGGGCCTTACGGAGGAATGTACCCGTACGGAGCAGGTCAAGGATATCCTTATGGAGGACCTGGTGGATGGTTCTAACTACGAAGACAAAGAGATGTCCATGGCGTGTTCTCTTATTCCAGAGAAGTTCCTTGGCGACAACGCGATATTCAAATTGTATTATTAACTATAATTGTATAACAACAATGAAATTTGCCGCAAAATTGTTTCATGTGTCTGTTGCAATATGAATATTGGATCTAGTATAACTAACAGATTACAAAACAAGCAGGAAGCCGAATAAAGCCGGCTGAAGATAGCACACAGCAGATAGACCTAATTAGAACCGTCCAAATAAGCACGGGAGTCAACTAGTAACTTTGCTTAGCCAGGCTAGAAATGAGAGTTCATTACGGCAGCAGCTGGCTCACGGTTTCAACGATTAGATGGATGGTAAAGTCTCCGGCATGCATCAGTCCCTATTCTGGGGTGTGCCCCGCATCCGACTGCTATCCAGAATCGAAGTGGCCTAATGAATGCGTATTTGGCCTATGCAGTGACTTGAGGTGGCCAGCCGATGTACAAGTCAGTGCTTTTATCCTCCTTAACAGTGCCAGTTAACCAATCCGTCCCGAATTTGAACCAGGATCATGTGTATATAATAGTGTGTTACCTGCACTATACCGCCTCCCATTTTAACTGATTAGAGACGAAACATAAAGCTTTTCCATGGCCCAATGATAGGGTCCATAAACATCGTGAATACTGTGTATGTTTCTCATGGATCCTATGGTAATTTTATTCGCTTATACGGTTTGAAAAAAGTCTTGAGACCTCGTGAATCTCGAAATTACTAAAAACTTCCCTTATCATACGGTAAAAGGCTTACTAGTTAACGATCATACGGCACTTGATAGTCGCTTCTAGGGATTTAGGAAAACAGTTAAGAACTCAGAATTCAAGGGTTCAGGGGTACACTTCATGTACAGTGACTGTTAGGTCGCCTATATCCATTAGCGTTACCTTGGTTACGGATTCGTCTGTCGTCGTGCAGTACTCAGCTGATAGCCGCTGTGGTCTAGTGGTCATCACAAAATAGCAAGATACTGTTACGTTTACTTCGGCCCTTTAGTAAATGCGGAGGAATCGAACTCTGTCTGGTTCCCGAGACTTTGGGAGTACTACGCCTCTCATGAGTTCGTGAAAGCTGTTGGATCAGATTGGATAAATTTTACATCTACGAGCAAATGGGTGAAGGATAAAGAGATGTAAAGTCTTGAGGCGTTGTTCAATCCCGTCTGAGGGATGCGCCCAAGCATTCGACTTCCATTCAGATTCACAGCAGATTGAATGCGCATGTGACCTATGCAATCACTTGCGGTAGCCAGCCAGTGAAGAAGTCAGGCTTCTATCCTCCCACACGAGTATGGTACCAAATAACCGACCCCGGAAGGATGGAAGGCTTTGTTAGCCTAGGCGTAGGCGGATATTGATCTGGAATTTGAACCCGCGTCCGTGCGTGTGATATAGTGCACCTGATGGTAGAACTCTATTCTAATAACGTTTGTTTGGTCAATGTCATATGGGCAACGAAGCCGACGATGATACATTGGCAACACGACAATGGCGAAAGAAGACGAAGCCCTTTCCAGAAAATTGGTGATGAGCAACAAGTGAGCCGATACAAGTGACACATTGCTTTGAGGTGGAAACCTCGGCTAGAGGGTATTATATTAAACTTGGTTTCCGATCCTCGAGGTTGCAATTATATCCCACTGTCTGTAAACGTGTAGATTCTGAGCTCTAATCGCACAGCTGCAGCGCAGCCGCAAGTGTTTTCTTTCACCAAATCATTTCAAACAAATTACCATATTTTGCATAATACGTACTATTTTATGGTTTTTTGCTGTATATATAAGCCTGCAGAGTTGGTGGGTTCTCCACTGTTTGCATTTCAGTTGGTTGTTGAACCATGGAACTGAACGTAAAGCAAAGTGGGATCGTCGATCGGCTTGTGTTTTCGACAAACTTCAAAATCAAGAATAGATGTCTGAGGGTGTGCGCTATTTTGGCTCTTAATGTGTTTGAGCTTCCAATCATGGTTGTGTCTCCGTCATAGCTATCTGAATAGGTTCATAATTTAGCGCACTGTGGAACGATACCTTCGAGATGATCTACCATGTGGACTCTACAGTTGTGAACTATGTTCGCCTTTGGGGAATAATCCCTTAGGAAGGAAGTCCAATAAGGGCGAAAATGAACTGGTTACCAGTAATCACGCTATTATTGTGGATTCCGAAGTCTTCATGCGTTTTATTGACATATTCGACTCGAATTTGTTCCAGTGAGTGCTTGGTTCTTTGAAGATCGTTTAATAAAGGAGCAAGTGTCCGTCAATCATAGGGATTTGGTCCGAAATTTTGTTCTTCTCGGATTTTGTGCACCGTTTCAGAAATATCATCATAACGCAAAATGTATGGGAATTCGTCAAGCAGAAATCTATCAAAACCTACAAGAAGATGAACAAATTCGTTTACGAAGACAAGGATCCACGATTCTCAGTGTTTATGAGCGAGTTTCATCACAAGACCTTCGTGCGCCCTGAACCAGGGCTCACGGATGATCTACGGTAATTCGTTTGTCACTGTCGGTTCAGTATATATACTTTATTATATAATTGTGTACCTACAGACGCGAGAAAGTTCTCTATGTCTGTGCTGATTACCTCAACAAGCATTGGGAAAAACGTGGCATGATTCCGATCATTTTATGCGCCGAAGATGATGTCCGGACAAGGTTGAAGAATAACTACGAATACTCGTTTACGGTCAAGGATTATGTTCAAGGTTAGCCACTATTATGCTGTTTGTTTTCTTTGATTCATTTTTTCCGTTATTCTGAACCGCAAATTGCATATATTGCAAACATTGCAAATAATGTTTCAGGTATGCTTAGTGAAAAGAAACGGAACCTAATTGATGCTATGGCGGCGTATGATTCTTCGAGTTCCGGCGGTAAAATCATCTATGAAAATTACTTATCTCACGATGAAATCACTAAAGGCATCGCTCAGGGAAATATCAAAAAGGGGAAATTTTCCGTAAGTTATTCTTTGTCGCTTAATCATTAATTCGGCATAAGCTTTCCTCGAGCTTTCAACTTCGTTTCTTGGCCTGTTCATACTCACACTCCTCAGAAAATCCCCGTTATCGCTCGTTTTCCTTTTTTGAAAACTTTTCGCACACTTTCGTTGATTCACTTTCATTCACTGGAATTTTACGGAGAGGGAGAAGAATGGGAGTTGTCGAGCGTCAGAACATCTACAAAAGTTTGTAATATTTTGCAGAAACGGTCATCCCTAACAGCATAAAATAATCGTCTGTTTTGGGTGCTTCCCTGGTCAAATCCACTCCCCGCTTGCCTTGCTTCGTAAAACTTGTCACCTCTATTTACATCCTCATGGTATCTTTTACATTTCAGGTATCCCGTGAGAATTACCGTGAAGCGTACGTGTTGGTTGATTCTAGCACGATGTCTTCTTGGTTCATCCATGGATTAGGCTGTAACAGAGCTATTGATGGCGATATTGTTGCTGTACAACTTTTGCCTGAAGAAGAGTGGTCGTTGCCAGAAAAGGTAAGAGAGGTCTATAAGGCTAGAATCATCGCTGATCCGTTAAATCCGTTTTAGAAAGTTCGTTTACGTGATGTGGAAGAGCTAGCCATGAAGGTTGATGATGAAACCGAGGCAGATGATAATGAAGATACACCAAAAGCTAAACGTGCAAAATTGACTCCAATCCCCACTGCGAAGGTAAGATCCGTTTCAGTTTGACTACCTTGGAAGGTGCTCTTGAAGTAGTTTTTTTTNNTTTTTTTTGGGAAATTACCCGTCTGTTATTCGAATTCCGTAGTTGATCTAAATTTATAAATCCATTCGAAAGCTCATCCTGTGCGTACTTCCCTTTCCTTCATCTTTCCAATCGTTTATACTTGTTCAGGTTGTTGGAATAATGAAAAGAAATTGGCGTCCTTACTGTGGTATCCTTATGCGTAGCCAGATCAAAGGTGGACGTCGTCATCTATTCTGCCCCAGTGATCGGCTCATTCCACGAATTCGGATAGAGACAGAACAGGTAATCTAAACATCGTTTTCTCTGCTATACTAAAAAGTATCCCTGGTTGTCGAGCGAGCAATTCATACGATTCTCATTTAAGGCAGATATCCTTGAAAATCAGCGTATTGTGGTGAGTATTGACCAATGGCCACGCGATAGCAGGTATCCATTGGGACATTATGTCCGAGCACTTGGAAAGATTGGAGACCGTGAGATAGAAAATGAAGTTGGTCTAGCAATTTTTGAATTTATTCGAATTCATTTACGATTTCAGCTTCACCTTTACAGTTTTTCTTGATGAACAAGTTGTTCACGTGGTTATTTTGAGGTGCTTCTTCTAGAGCATGATATTCCTCATGCCCCTTTCTCTGATGGTGTGCTGGAATGTCTGCCGAGTGAGAACTGGAAACCGGATTTACAGCCGCCTCGAGTCGATTTACGTCATTTAACCATTTGCTCGGTGGGTTCTTCGTTTTCGTGAATGTGGTTTTTTCTTGAAAGGTTTTTCTTGTGGAGTGAACATGTGCAGCGGCCGAAGTTATTTGAATTTGTCATAGAGAACATTGCTCCAGTGGGACTCAGGTTACCTTATTCCCTTTGCGGCGGATCTGTTAAGAACATTGACCAGTTAGGGGCCATGAGATGTGTGAATGTCTCAATCATACGGCTTCTGAATACTTACAGGTTGATCCTTTGGGATGCACAGATATTGATGACGCACTTCACTGCCGTCCTCTAGATAACGGCCTGTTAGAGGTTGGGTGATCTTTTCGCTCAGTTTTGTTTATTTCATCATGACCACGAATACCTCTAAGTCTCCGTTTCAGGTAGGGGTCCACATAGCAGATGTGACGCACTTTGTTAGGCCTGGCACAGCGATTGATGAGGAAGCGGCAAGTCGAGGAACGACTGTCTACTTGTGCGACCGAAGAATCGATATGTTACCCGCTTTGCTGAGTAGCAATCTGTGTTCGTTAATGGGTGGTGAAGAAAGGTTAGTTATCGAGTGTTCGTCTGCTGTCTCCTTCTGAAGCTTATGACTTGGTGTCGAAAAATTTTACAAGCTACATAAGATGCATAAGAAGGAAAGGGTGAAGTAAAATTGGGGTGTAGAGCGCCATCATCTGATCTTTATGTTGTACAGTGTGTAAAATATACTGGCGAGAGTACCTGTCCTTAAAATTGCATAAAATAAAATGTTTGAATTCAAAATACGATTCAGAAGGTGTAGTTAATCAGGTAGAATCGGAGTTCTACAATGCATTTTTATTGTGCAGATATGCATTCTCCGTTATTTGGACGATGACGAGCGATGCTGAAATCTTGGATACCAAATACCACAAGTCGCTGATATGTTCGAAAGCAGCTCTTACCTACGAGAAAGCGCAGGAATTCATTGACGACCCCAATTTGGTAAATTAGTACTTATGATTAAATTAGATTGGGTTAAGAGAACGTTACGATTTAGAACGATGATGTCACCATCGGTTTACGAGGCTTGATGAAGCTGTCTAAGGTTTTGAAAAAAAGAAGAACGGCTAATGGAGCGTTGACACTTGCATCATCAGAGGTGAGCGTGAATCCCTTTCAAAGTGGAACAGTACTGTTCGATTTCTGCATCTTCAAAATACCACCAGTAAATCGCTTCACAGCTTAGATGTCTCTCAATCTTTGTCTCTTCCTTTCACAAGTTTCTCTTTTGATATTTCCTTCGTTTCATCTGTTTACCTGTTTGATAATCTTCCGATCAGTCTTCGCTAATCTTTAACGCTTATTTATGTATCAAAGAGTGGAGGTGGTGTATTAGATATCGTTGAGCACTTGTCCTGCCCGTAGCGGGTTTTGTTTTGCTTATCATGCCTGCTATTCGTTGGACCAGTTGTTTGGTGTCGGACATGTTGTGCTGTTTTTCAAGGCATTAATGAGCGCATATCGTAGGGCAAAAGAAGTGGATTGCTGGTTTGGAGTACTTCTTATGGGGTTTCGTTTCTCGCTTATGGCGAAGAAAATGTGGCAGAGATATGGTGTGATGATACTTGAGCTTTTCGTTGATCAGTGCTACTGCAGTCGACTGTCGATTTCTCACTATCCTTGGGGCTCATCGTGGCTTATTCTTAGAGTCAGTGTCCCATTTTGCATGAAGAATGAAGCTAGAGAAGTTTCTCCTAAAGCCGGGGTAAATCAGATCGGGAAACGAAGTAAGTTTGCAGTAAGTGATGGGTTCGACAGGAATTGAGGAAGGGAAAGGACCATAGCAAGAGGGAAACCATTCCTTATAATAATTCCCACCCACAGAGGGCCATTACTAGTGGCTGCGCAGTCTAGATCAAGTACAAATCATTTTTGCCCTCTCGAATATGTGAGAGCCCTTAAGAGACTTCAAGAACATGAAAGGCTTGGCTGATTTGGGTAAGGTCCGGTCTGCAAGCTGTGCCAGTAGCTGAGCTAAGTCTATTGACCGCAACTTCTCCATTCGGTATTTGCTGTAATGTGCCGAATTCATGATTATTTGAAGAAGTGTTACTTTTTAAAATCATGCGAGTTAGTTATCATTGTTTAGGTGAGGTTTGACATGGATTGGGAGACACGTACGCCGAAAGCGGTTCAAGAGAAGAAGCATCTAGACACTCACTCTATGGTCGAGGAGTTCATGCTGCTTGCGAACATATCAGTCGCTGAAAAGGTAATTATAGGTTTACGCTAGCCAGTTACATCAAAGAAAGATATTGCTGAGGACGCGATGGTCATGGCTCTGTATGTTTGACAAAAAGTGAATGTTGCATAGAGGTGAAAACAGTACGGCCACGTTCAGTGGGATTGCTGCGGGAGGTCTCGTGGTGTGCCTGACACTTCAAATCTTGTATGCTTTCGAAAGCGGACTTTAAATTATTCGCAATCGTTGCTTCTGAATTTTATCTTCGAATTTAGAAAGGTAGTTTCAATGCAGGCATCTACAAATTGAGCTCGAGTAAATGAGTTCGTTGTGCTGCGCTCTCTTTTTACTTATCAAAAGTATATCACCAAATTTGGATATGTAATAACAATCAACAAACAATTTTACATTTTTGGATATGACCCGAAAAGGCTCCTTCGTTCAATGGCCTCTCCCGTTACATCGTACATGTTTTCCAAATTGATCTCGAATACATTCGAGAGAAAGATAGTATCAGCCCTCAAGAAAAATCCACTTTTTGGAGCTTTTGGTATCATTTTCCTCGAAATTAGAAGCGATGAGTTTTTCGCTCGTGTATGGTTCCAAAATATGATGGGATATTTGGACATGAAGGATAGAGGAAAAGTTTTTGGTGTTGATCAGCACGTTTTTTGATATTCATCAGCCGATGTGCGAAACAGTGCTTTCATCCTTCCAACGAATCTGATACCCATAGGCTACTTTCAGAGTTCGACGACCGTCCGTCCGTCCGCCCGTCCCTCCGTTCAGCGCGTGCTGCGACGGCGGTCGCTAGAGTAGTGCTGACAGCGCTGGCACGTGATATGTGTTGTCAACAACGGTCAGGCGCCGCCGTCGCAGCACGCGCTGAACGGACGGACGGACGGTCGTCGAACTCTGAAAGTAGCCATAAAGGGCTGTAGCGGACGGCTTAGGTGGCCAGGGCGAGTATCGATCCAGGATTTGATCGTGTGATAGTGCGCCACTTGCACTGAACCACCGTCTATCATCGAACATAGGAATAGTATCGTTAAAGATGACACTGAGGAAGGTAGAAAGAAGACGTGGGACTCATCGTATGAATGGCGGTGTGTCCTGATTATGTAAGTACCAGGTAATGATGTGATACCTACATTAGGTTCACTGGGTGCAGCTGAGTGCCGTCCCTAACATGCAACTGCAAGTTGTGTAACTTAGTGTGAACAACTTGTGATGCCCTTGTTGTATTCGTGCAAGAGATTGATAGAAGGGAGTTGCCATTAAAAAGTAGTGAGGATATGCTGCCTCTTACGATGAGTCGCAAATATTAAAAACGAAATTATCATGCGATGTCAATCTTGCTAATATCCTTTTTCGTTTACAACACCATCTTGTCCCATTTGTTGACTCGCTTGACCCTTCATTAAGTGGTGAGATATTTTCCCTGACTATGTTATTAGGTGCGCACTGAAGACCTTCATAAATTAAAAAGGTCTATTTTGGTATAAAATCCAAAAAAATAGGGAGATCAGAATAAGGAAATCGAACCAAAGCGTTCGATACTATGTGCCTTATACGATTACCCTCATTCAGAGTTTTCCGTTGATAAGTTTAGAAGGTGAAGTGTCAAGAGTTTCAGATTCTTGCCGAGTATCCAGATTGTGCAATGTTGCGGCGCCATCCAGTACCTACAGAAGCTAGCTACAAGCCACTCATTGAGGTGAGGCAATGAATAATGTTAAAAAAAGTTTGTGTTAACTTAGGAAACCACTGGCATTTCTTGCTATCGAAAATCTTTAATTCTTTTCGGATAAAATAAGCGCTGAAACTATGCAGCTGGTGCATGGCTTTTTTGAAGGGGATTTAGATTTCTGAAGAGCTTCGTTTGAAATTTTATTGACTTTCGACGGATTTTTGAACGGAACAACTTTTTTATAAAATTCAAGCAGGCTTGAGTGGTTTTCTATTCAATGTCGCGTTTTTCCTCTCCATGTTGGACTTCCCATTCTCCTTTTACTTACTTGAACCCCTTTTTTGAACTACCAATTTTGATTAGTTTGTCGTGATCTGTGACAACTCTTAATTCCAGTTCCGAAATACCGAATCTCTTTAGCGACTATATTTAGTTTCCTCACAGTTTGAGGTCTCTAATCATGGGCTCAACCTGAGGATCCTCTTTCTTATTCTGTTTTGTGCTTCACTTCGTACAAATTTTCTTGTTATCTTGCCAAATTTGTCAGATTGTGTTTGGATCAGCAGTTGACGCCTAGCCCTCTCATCGAACTCCGCTAGCAGTGCTTAGAAGGCAACGCTGTTTGTTCAAATAGTATCTTTCTTCTTTCTAATTCCTTTGCCCTCCTTGATTCTTTCGAGATCCTTTGACAAATGAGCTCGCAGTGCTGTGGTGGGTTTTATCGTGACGAGATTGTGCCTTTAATTCCGAATCGTGGTGGTCGTAATGTGCTTTAGGGAGGCTGTTCAGTCTCTCATTACCTAAGTGGATTAGGTCGTAATGTGGAGCCGAGAAACTGGTTACGGAGTCATTGTGCGCAGTGGATGTTTTTTTTTATTGTTTGTGCAGGCTTGGGAATTTAAATCCGAATTAAGTGTGTTAGATTAATGGCGTTCTAAGATTTATTACTCAGCATTTGGTATATGGTTTTGAAGTGCAAGTTAGAAGCCTAAAATTGTGTAGAGCTCGTTGTGTTGGGGGAGTTTTCGAGTATATTCAGAGTTTATATTAGAAAGTAGAACATCGTTCATAGTTCGTACTTTTAGGAGCCCAATGGGTTGGGATAGCGACGACTTGGGGGATATGGTTCCAAAGTTCTATTCGTACTACCCCATTATTTTCGAGTTTTCCTTCTGAAACGGCTTCTTGTGGGAATCCCTTCATCCGAAGTCGAGTAATATGTAAGGTGTTTGCTGATTCCCATCGAGTCATGCCTTCCGAGGGTCCCAGATTTCATGTTACCGCCGCACTTCTGCACACTCATTCCTTCACATGCTATTGTGTATCCGGTCTGCTCGACCTCCCTTTAGAGGTTGAATGCGTGGACAACGGAATTCATCACTGATCCCCGTCCGTGGTCGGGTCGGCATTGAAGGCTATTATGATTGTTGCTCTAGTTTATGGCCGGAAATATGGTTGTCTGAGCCTGGGAAACTGAAGGATTTTGCGTATTATAGGATTGGAATACATTTTGATGTCATGAGAGGAGAATCGATCCCAAACGGTTTGCTATTCGACTTTCATGACAGTTGACATGAAACCTCGAGAAAGGCAAAATGATCATTTCGTAATATTGCTCTAAATAAACCATAACTCATATTATTCAGACCTGTGGCAGCTTGCGAAAGCACAGAACGTCCCGCACTACCGCCTAAACGGGCCAGTTACGGGAAAATCTATGGTCCTTAGTGTTATTTTCCCAGGGTCATTTTGTACATATTTTCTTTGATGAGGGCGGTGGGTGGAGGTGTTTGTGAGGAAAAATGACTCTTGTCGAAGTCGGGAAGCTACACCACAAGCGTTAGTCTCTGTTACTTGATGTCACGCTGAAAATACAAGTTGATTTCCATGGAATCTGAAGCGACTGAAGGTTTCCAACTCTGTAAACATATGTTCATAAGGTATAGTTTGAGGAGAATACTTAATGTTTGATTATCTTGAGAATCGAGAGAATTGCTCCTATTCAATATTTTTTTATCCATAATGATTTTCTTCGATATTTCCTATCGGGGTTTAGAAATTCGGCGACTTTGCAAAGTATTTTTCCGTTGGTATATTACAGTAGGGGTTAAGTTAGTTCATCGCCTGTGAATCAAATGCCGATTGGTTGGAACTCAGCTTGAGATAGATTAGATTAAGTTGAGGGCAAATCGGCTTTTTAGATTTACACATTTGCGATTGACGATCCGCTATTCAACAGATTACGGCGTACATGGATACACAGAAAACCATAGTCCCTTTATGTCAGCAGTAGCTCTGCGACAGTCGGGTTGACGCTAATTCAGCGCACGTTTTTATTCGCGCTAACAAGATTTTGAGTCGCCAAAGTGGCCCGACATCGGCGGCCCACTTTGTTCGTTTCCGACGCGTGTGTTACGTAATTACTGTAGATACGGTATCCAGCGAAATGGATACGAGAAATGTTGCGCTCGGTGGCATATCCTTCATAGATGCTTCCCGAGAATGGCTTCCTACAATTCTCTCCGTAGATGCTACTTTTCTTTTCGTCTAGTGCTTCGGTCGCACCGTTGTTGCATGGCCTTTTGACTCGAGGTTTGACTTGTATGAGAGGTTACCTCTTTATGGTGGCACCCTTCTAGCCAGCCAGTCTGTGTAGCGAGAGCCAATTACGTATGTCAGTTGAGAAATGTTATGACTGTGTGCAGTTTAACGAGTAATTAATGTGAGTAGTTAGAGGGAATAATTCAATAGAACACGGTAAGGTCTGAATGGCGTGCGATGACATGCATTCGATCATAATTGTCCGAAAGGGAAGCGAACATAGGCATCATCGCCGTCCAGTTGTCAGCATGAGATTCTGCGCATCAATAATTATCTACTCAAATAAAATCGTAAACAATATGGTATTAGGAAGTTTTGACCCTCGAAAGTCTTCAGGGGGAAGATTAATTCAGGTCACCTTACTAATCATGATAAAGAAGGATGGGAACTGTCTATAAGTTCTCTATTGAATATTTTCATACTGAACTTCTCATTGGATTTTATCTTTACAACCAAGCGTATTTCAGGCTGCAAAACTACGTGGTATCAATATAAACGTGAGTAGTGGTAAAGCTCTGGCTGACAGCTTAGATCGCGCCGTGGATGAGAAGAATCCGATGCTCAATCGGTTGTTGAGAATGCTGACAACCCGGTGTATGACCCAGGCGGTCTATTTCAGTGCTGGTTCGTTGTCTTTAATTATGGTGATACTTTTTCATACCTTCTTTGCTTTGTTTATATTGTATGGGTATAACTTCGAGTTTGAGTGCCATACGTACGTAGCCTTTTACCTCCTGTTGACCCTTCACCTCCACTTCCTTTATTTCCCTTATGCTTTGCTACACCCTTTCTCTGAAGCTACAGAGGTTGCTCCAAATGACCACACGTTTTTCGGCAAGTCACTCTTAAAGATCCTCAATTTTCATCTGTTATTTCTCTGTTGTTTGCAACGCACCATCCTTCAATTCTGTTCCCTTAATCGGTGTTACTGTAATGCTATTCAGGCACGATACCGGTCCCACAGTATCAGCATTTCGGTCTGGCTGTCCCTATCTATACTCACTTCACCTCACCAATTCGTCGTTATGCTGATGTGGTAGTCCATCGGCTCCTGGCCGCTAGCATAGGCGCGGACGACATCAAAGTGGGCCTACTCAGTCAAGCCAATGTACAGAAGATATCGCAGAACATCAATTACAGGTTCGTCGATCAGTTTTTCCAGTGTTCTTTTCCTCCTTTTAGTGTTTTTATTTTTGGTCTAACCCCTTTTTATTGATATATTGATCTGATATTGATCCATGAGTATTGCTACAGGCACAGAAATGCGCAATATGCTGGCCGAGCATCGGTGCAGTTGAATGTGTTGACGTATTTCCAAGGACGAGAAGAGACGTGCGAAGGGTTTGTCATGGGTGTGCGAATGAATGGAATACAGGTACAGTATCTGATTTCAAAGCCCCTGTTTTTTTTTNTTTTTTTTTCAGGCATATGGGGAATATGGACTAGTAGAAATCAATTTCAAAGGTGCGAACAGATATGATCTGTTGATTTCTATAAAATTCGTTGTCAAAGAGCTGTCGCTAGCGCAAGTTGAGCCTCATTTGGCGCGCAAACACGACCTCCGTAGTTTTTATCTGTGCTTTTTCTGTGGCACCACCGAGCAGGGCTTTGTGAATGTGTGTATTTTTGCGTGTTCCGCTCGATTTACGACAAACGCCGCAGCTCAAAAAAACTGTGCGTGTTGTAAGAAGAACGAAAGTGACCTTTGAATAAGCCACACCTCTTTAAGTTAAACATACGGACCGGGAAACGTTGAGACTATTGGGGTATACGACTGAGGTCAGCTGAGTGGATGGAATGTTTAGCCGCTGCTATAACATCAGTATTAGATTATGGTTGAAAGAAGAGATTTGTGAGGGTTTTACGGCATCCGATATTTTTCTGCTAACTAAAATTAGAATTGACTTATGGAACTTATCCAGTTCAGGTATTTGTACCGAAATATGGCTTGGAATCAGTCATAGTGTTAGAACAAGGAAAGGGAACAACAATTGACATCGAGGATTGCTGTGTTCGGAACGGAGAAAATGTGATTAAGGAGCTTGGTGAGTGATCCAATCCTGAAACTTTCGTTTTCGAGTGAAACTGATAGATTTAGAGTACCTGACTCTCAGTCTGTAAGGTTGTAAGGTTTGTCCATTCTCCTAAGCTAACACATTGCTCAACTGAAGTGCACCAGCTAGGTAGTTATGTAGGCCCATAAGCGTGACTACTTTCGGGCAATTCAGAAGCTAAAATCGTTTACGTATCACAAGTTTCAAGTTACTGGTTACTGCTCTGTAACTCAGTCCAATTCAAGTAATCATTGAATATTTTTCAATGACTGAGCGACTTCTATATGTTTTGAGATTCAATTCGATCCAGTGATACTGTTTCTTTCAAAAGTTTTGAAAATTTCAAGAGTGCGACTAGTCGCAAGGGCATTTTTTGAAAGTTTTCTCTGAATACTTATGGAAGGCTTAGCTTTGGGTAGTGTGCAGGACTGCGCAATGCGCTTGCCAACTTGTGCTTCTTTACAGATAAAGTAATAGTACGAGTGCGACTGGACGACTCCAACGTGCAAAGGCGTCGAATAGCGCTCGACCTTCTTGAACCATCCACAATGCCTGGCTTATCTGTTGACTTTGATCTCTCAGAATCGATCGGTGTGGGAATTTAAAATGATCTACCTTGTTGGTTGTTGATTTGTTGTAACTTTTTTTTCTTGTTACATTGTGCAATTTGTTGACATTATTGTTGCAAGAATCAATATTTGAAAATTACAAATAAAATAGTCAGTTACAACATATTCAAATGAACTGAACCGGCTGATGAAGCGTAATGTGGTTGCCAATTATTTAGAGGTAGATCATATTTCAACCTTGAAGACCATTCTAGGAATTAGAAATCTTATAGCCGAATGTATTCGTTCGTCAAGGACGTGGCACACATTAGGAAATAGTATTCTGCCTCATTTGGTACAAATGAGTGGAAGTTTTTTCGGTGCTCAATGGTGAATAATAAATATTATTAATTTATGACCTCAGAACTATGATGACGTAGGATGAAGGCACAGATGCCAGTCAAGTCAATGGAGTAGAAGTGGTTGAAGCCATAAAGGCATCACTATGTCTATTCTCATAATTCACATTAAGTTCCAGCCCAAAGCTGACTTTCTGATCAACCTCCACCGTACTTCGCGTAAATGGTTTTTGAACTAGATCCGGGAGTACTGAAAGCATGGTGAAGAAGTTCTTAACGGTTCTCGAGGCAAATGGTCGAAGCTGTACAATCCGTGAGTCAGAAAGCGGCCCTCTTGCGCAGCCACTCCATTTTAAGCGTTACAGTGGACAACTAATCGACTTTAAATAGCACAAGACCATACTTCTAACCTTCGCCCTGGTCTACAATCCTGCGGACGTGCACGTGACGCAACCGCTCGCGTCCCATCTCACCATTTTTCAGCGGAAGACTTCTAGTGTACGGTCGCATGTTGGGTGCCTGCATACATAAGCGACTTAATATTTCTCAATCTGGATTTTCGAAACCTTCAGAAAACCGTAGTCTAATGCTTCGGAAAAGAGATAGCTTGTGTTTGGTGGCTAACTGGTTGTTTGAAAGCAATAAAAATGAGATCTTGCTCATGATATCTGCTTATCTCCTGTTAGTGATATGAAACCGTAGCCGTGATCGGTCATTGACTTGGGTGGATATGGTAGAGGAATTTCGCTGAGCATTCAAATATTTTACTATGAATTTTAATACAATCATCTAATAGATCACATGTAAAAGCACACGCAGTGGCTATCTCTACGGTGAGATTGCACATCAGAAGATAATGTTGATCAAAGCACAATGACATGTACACACCTAGATTTAGTTTAGAAAGGCTTGAAAGGTAGTGAGACTTTTTAGGACATGATCAGGCGAAGGAAAGGGTCAAAAGGTCGAATTCGAACACGCATTTTTCTCTTCAAAATCTTTACATTACGATGTCGATTTTGTTAGGAAATTATATTTAAGATATTGATATTGGTCGTTTACCCATTACCCCGATTAGCCGGACCTTGCCCCCTCGACGTTCGCGATCACACACTGAGAGAAATTTGGAAATGACGACGACAATGTGAACGATATACATCGTATTCATCTATGAAACGAGTTCTGGTGGTGAAGACTGGGGGGTTACTGTAGCCCGAACGAACTCGGCGGTTGTTGTGGAGGTTTGTCGACAGTTGTCGTTAGACAGATATCGGATCCGTTGCTGGCGTATGCACCCACTGACGTTGGCAACGGTCGCATCCAATCCATTGAGTAGTCCTCTTTGCTCCGTAGCCATTCCTTGTGCTTTTGCTCGAATCCCAGAATGTCGTTTATGGAATAGGCAGCTGAAATAGAATCCATCAGTCAAGGAGAGGTTCTTTAAGGTAAATGGAATGGATGCTTTCAAGGAGGAAGCGCTCGTGATGTTACCCGCAAACCAGACCTAACGCCCCTAAAGGAGGATCCAACACAACGAACAACAAAGGACTGATTGGAAGTCAATCCGAGGCCTGACGGATGGACCATAAGCATTCTGTGGGAGAGAACAACACAACCCCGTTTTCACCTCCATTTTTTTATTCTGAGAATGTACATGGCCGCATCGTTTCGGAAGTGATTAGGTACCTTACCATTCGGTTGGTAGTGCTGCTGATTTCGAGGAGGAGCGATAAGTGGAGCAGCTGGTGGAACGCCCGATGGAGTAGTCGCCATCGATGCCTCAAAACAAACTACTTTATTCATGACCATACTCGATGCGGCAATGATCAATGAATTACCTTATTCCGTACTATCCTATTGATGGATGAGACAGACGGCACGTTATCTGGATCACAGATCCTTTCCTGAAAGTAAAAAATTAAGTAGCATCCCGACATATTGAGATACCGTTCCTGCATAGTTTTTTCTTTGGAGCTACAGTAGGTCTGGGTGAATTATTCACCTTCGCCTCCCACATACAGGATTTTTTATTTTAATGACACCAGGTTGAAAGAGACCAATTAGACAGGCCATGGTAATGTTAGCTAACAGTAATTTCTAGGGTTCGTCCTATGGGAGAGGACAATGGCCGATAACCATCATGTGATGTTAGAATCATTTGGAAAGGATTTTTGAAGAATTACAGCTGGTTGAGAAACACTAGTGTACAGTCATGGGTCCCAAGCTTGACCGCATTAAGGTCTCAGATCATCGCCACTATTACTTCCCACGAGATGGATCTTATAAAGTTATAACGAAATAAGGTTCATAGGTTGGCTCATAAATAGACGGGTCCGAATATTAGGTCGAAAAAAAGATAGGAGACAAATTTTGGATCCGCAGAAATTTTGGGTAAACCTGCAGAATTCAGTTGGGAACATAAGTAACGGCTGACGCAAGCCAAAAAAAGTCTTTCACTCTACCTGCAGAAGTTTCTCACGTATTTCCCATGCGAACATCGTGGGATTCGCCCTTTTGTATGCAGCTATGCAACCGACAACTCTTGGGGTGGCCACTTTTGGCTTCGAACCACCAATAACGCCTGAAATCGTATATGATAAAGCTTTGGACTTCTCAAATGGCAAAGTTCTCATTTGAAAGATTGGCAAGCTTAAACAACGTGGAATAGAGGATTCTATCTCACAAAATTAGCAGAATTTCCTGGTCGAAGCGGAACTTTAAAAGCTATCGACAAGGTCTATTCACAAGGTTGAAGGTGTGAGGGTAATGGAAGTAATGAGGCGGAGTTACATCAGACATTTGAGGAGTTCCAGTCAGCCTTGTCTGGGAGAAGAACTGGAATGAGTTCAAAAAGCTGCAGGAGGCGTCTAGAGCGTTCTTCCGTGTTTTTCGTTTATTAGCTGCTTTCAGTCGGATTGTAGTAACAGAATTCTAACGACATCGGGAATATTTATATGTGTAGATGTTGCTTTTATCACAAAGCCGTAAAGAAAGGGGTCTTTGTACAGGGGATTTGGTGATGAATATGTTCTGTTCATTATTTTTTCAGTCAGAACTTATCCCGTTCCCGTTCGGTTCAACCTGATTCGAGAAAGACCTACAGTTAGAACTTTGTCCAGCTTTTCCCCTTCGAAATACAAGTTCGTCACATCTCCTGCAGATCGCTACTACCTTAGCGGTAACTCAAAACATTCCATAAATCTTTTGATACCGAGAGCTATGGTCTCGGTAAGGGTATAGTTCTACATTCCTGAGCCATTCCCTACAGCTTGAGACTTGAGGTCGGCAGGACACAGAAAAGAAGGAACAACCACCCTGCTGCTCTGATAATCAACGGGAAGTGCATTTTACTATTTCATCACAGAAGCTACATAAGAAAAGAAGATTATACGCTTTCCCGGGCGCTTTGACTCAAAATGGAAGAAAAACGATCGTGTCGGACTTGTCTTTAGTGATTGCTCAGATTTGGCAAACTACAGGCTGCCTAGGCGATAGCAGTTTGCCCACTTCACACAGTTTCATTCTTTTTCAGCTAAAGTAGTGCACAATATGCTTCCCTTTTCATATGGGTGGCCTCAGACTGCAAAACGTTGATCCATTCAAGGTTGCTGAAAAACGTGTCGTCGTTCACATTCGCAACCTATGTCACTCGTCAGACACTGGCCGCCAACTGGAAGCGATTTCAGTGAAGGGACGAGTTCCAATTGAAAAGAGATGACGCATAATACCGTAATCAGATCCAACATATGCGCGGCGTCCCATCGTACACGGGTTCTTTTGTACCACTTGTGCCGCGCACGCGCGACAAACAGACCGATTTCCGATGGGGGCGGGGCCTGAACTGATTGCTCTGCACAATGCACTTCGTTCGCTATGCTCTAATAGGCACGGTGCTTCGGAACGATTCGAAAAGCTCAACAATGGCACATAATCGGCTGAACCCGATTCGTATGATCGGAAGAGATCGTTCTTCCAAATCTGAGAAGTCTTGGACGAGTTGGAAGAAAAAGAAGAGAAAGAGGTCAGCAATTTCTGCTGATTTTGACAAATTAAGACTTCAAAAAGTTTCAAAAGCAGTTGTGGCGAGGAGGATTGTTTGAGCTCATTTCAGCGGACTCTCCACTTTTCACTGAAAGGGATCTGTAAGTGAGCAGAAGGTATCGAGGATCCGGAAGTTTTAGGCAAGAAGTAAGCCAATTTTTTCGGTGTTTTGATTTTTCCCTATGCACTCTTCAAACTGGTTCCAGATTTCTAGCGTTTCTATGGTATAGGAGTAACCGTGTCAAAGAAGTAGTCTCGTTATAGTAATTCACATGAAATTAATGCAGAAAGGCAGTCTGGCAAAGAGAAATGCGCCCTTACAACTTCCTCAGACTCACGAAAAAAGGAACAAGCCGATGGTGGAGTTTGCCGGGTAAGACGGGCAGTTTTGGTCCTCAATAAGACAAACATAGCACCAAATGGGGGTGAGGAACTAAAAAGTTGGAAATTTCGACTTCCGTCCCAACTCGACAGCAGCGAGTTTTCTCCTAATCCCCTAATTTTTAGAGGGCGTGAAATCTCGAGGAGTCACCCAGTTCTAGCCGGACTCCTCCTTGAAGCACCCGACAGCAGACTCCTCCCTTAAGTTGAACTCACAAGGTAGTTACGCGTCAATTACAACCGCAGCCAAGTCGATGGCAAAATTAGTACCGATAAACAATTACCCCAGAGAAGCACTAGTGTAGAATTCCAGAAAACCTGGAGAGGCACAGAATCAGCTGCTCAACACCGCTCCGTGTCGATAGTATAGTATGGTAGGATAGTATGCACCGGCACTGACCCAATTCTGTCTAACGCTTCATTTTGAAAAAAGTTTTTCATCTAAAATTTGAGAAAAAAGTTTTGAGTTTTTAAGTCTCACTTCCAACACAGCTGATTGGCTGAGAGGCGCTCGACTTCTCATATGATGATGGTGAAAAACCGTCAAGCTCATACGATATTACAGTCCAGTGATGATCAATTTTCAACTAGCGCTTTCAGTATCACTTTGTAAGGATCTCGCGAGGTTCCAAATCCTGTGCTGGAAATAATCAGCTTAGTAAAGGCGTCCACTAGCTTGGTTCCACCACATCTGATGGCTTCGGTCCCAGAAATCATGACCGGAAAGGTCGAAAACCTATATATGTAGATATAATTTCAGGCAACATTCGATGACGCTGGCTAGAATGCTCATTAATTGTAAGACGGGGAGGCCCTGAGAGCCATTGCAATGAAGTACACCTTTTGCTCAGGAAGGGGAAGGCCCATGCTACGAGGCCTGAATCTCTAGTAGAAAATTTGAAGAGATAGAATGCACAGTGGGCATCAGCCGGCTCAATCCTCTTATAATCAACTGGAAACGTTTCAGGAAAAAGAGCAGAAACTGGCATCGGTTTGTCACCCAAGTGGAGAAGAGAATAGAGGCTTCGTGGGAAATCAAAATTGGGTACAGTTTCATGAGAAAAAAAAATTGGCGAAAATCGCAGCACAAGAAGGTTTGCTTCCCCAAGCCTTGTATAGACAAAAGTGAGGCTACTTCAAAATTACGGAGGAATTGGAGTGTGCTCTCATGGAACAGTATGTGGAGCCAGCTGTTGTCTGGAACTCTCAATATCTTCTTCAGAAATTTGGGATTGCACAGGGGAGCAGTGGTAAATGAACTCATACTCCTGATTAAAGTCAAACCAGGACGAGCAACAACAAACTAGAAGTGACTGTGAGGACTGTATGTACATGAAGAATACGGACAGCACTAGAAAAGAAATGATGGAAATTACAAAGCACAGGTAGGTCCGTTCTGAAATGGAAAAGAACTCACCGGGTTTAACAGATCCCGTCTCATAAAACCTCCCGAGAATCTTTGAGACGCATCCGTGGCTCACTCTGAAAATTAATTTGACTTATCGTACATCTAATCGAAATCATTCAGTAGCTACCCATTCTTTATAAGAGACTGAGTATAACTCTGGACAAGGTTGCCAACATCGGTTCCAGTCTTGGGAGAATGGAGAAGGTGCAAGGAAAAGGAATTAAAATAATAAAATGGAGCATTTCGAGAGTTTTTCACAAATTATTGATCACCCTACCTCAACTGCCTGGAAATGTCACATGGTCGAACGCCCTGATGTGCCATTTCAACGATTCGTCCCCGGATATGATCGGGAAGCGGTCGACCGTTGACGAACACACCACCGAGCTGATTAACACCAGTATGACCATTGTCAATGGGAAATGCCGAGCAGGTAAGTGGTGAACCAAAGGGTGTTGAAGTAACGAAGGTCGGAGCGAAATGTGCCGTCGACGGAGGTGGTGGCGGCAATGAGCCAGCGGACGATGCGGCGGCCAGTGACGGTGGGTAGTAGCCGTAACCCCGCCACAGATCCATGCCTAGTCAAGCGAGTGGCTACCCATGGTCGCCCTTGGGCGCACCCCGTCGCCCACTAGACCACGCCCAACGCCGAGATCGTGATTCGTCTACTCCGACCTGCAGTGGCTGGCTACAGTATACGCGCATTGAGTGCTGTCTCCAGGGAACATCGTCCCGAGTCGATTCCCGTTCCTGAGTTGCAGCTGATATAGTCATTTATTGATCATCCACATGAAGTTCGAGCTCATCAGGTCTGATAGCCGATTTGGGTCATCGTCCGGTAAGCGGATATAATTAGCCGGCGGCAGCGCGTGTCTGCCGATACTCATCCTCTCTGACTGCACTCCGTCATCACCCATCACCCTCTACGCTGTTTTCGGGCAGTAGAGGTAAGTGGCCTTTTATGGGATTGGTAGGCACTGCAGAGCCTCCGGAACAAAACTTGCTCAATTGATAGCAGTCAAGCCTTTCCCATACTCATGTCGCTGCCCTCCTACCGCTCACCCTTTTGAGTCATCGATTGCTGAAACTGGTTCGAAAAGAAGAAATCATGGATCAAATGGTTTAATGTTGGAGTAAATCAATAAGGACATGCCCTTCAGAAAAGTTGAAACACCGAAATCATTGGAATTGATTGCTTTTGCTCATTATCTTCCCTGCCAAATTCATGGGAGAGGAGATTCATCTGGATGACATCATGCTTGGGTCTCAGAGTGATTTCAAAATTAGCCTGCTGAATAAGGACAAGTAAAATTACTAAGAATCAGATAAAGCATTTTAGTAAAACGTACACTTTATTATTATTATGGAGTTAGCAAGTTTTAGCTAACCGGGTCAGTCTACTGGTTTTTGTTCAATTTATTTAATCAAATACATTCAAAATTTAGCTACGCAACCCACAAGTAGAGAATCATTGTTAGGTGCCCTACCCTACGATTCACTTGCAAACAAAAAGAAAAGGACGAAGAGTCAATCAGAAAAAGGGGAAGAAGTAGAGAATGCAGCAAGAAGGTTGAATACAGCGAAATTATTTTGCAGTCAGTACGGTGAACTACTTAACAGTATCGGTACTAAACACTAGTGGGGTTTATAGAGGTGATTGGGGAGGTGAACATCTGAATTTTAAGGTGATTTGTGTACCTGTCATGAGCTTATTTCCATACTCTCTAAGTAATGGTTACCAAGCTCAGTGTAAAAGTCTGAGAAGGGAGTGTCTGCACCTCACAAACGGTGACTTCAAACAGTATCTGATGCTTATTTGCCAAGAATTTTTATAAAGAGTAGGCAGAAACGTTGTTCTGCCGGATAACGTAGTGTAGATCACTACTTCAACCCAGACAAAGCGTCAGACGTCTTCGGAAAGTCTATCGTAATCCATTCCACAGGTTTTCAATGTCATCACCTTTCCTGAACCGAGACTACGACGTCCGTAACTGAACAATAGCTTCCGCAGGCTGCTACAGAACTATCCATATCGGTTATTCATGTCCATGCCTAACTTGTTTGTTTTAATATTGTATATACATCAATGAAGTTGTTTACCTGCAAGTTGCGACATAATGCTCACCTGTCCTCATTCGGTTTCTCCAATTCGACCCTGTGAAATGGACGTTGTTCGTTTCCATCATCACGTTACATTACATTACTCTGTGTCATTACATGCCCCGCCACATGTGTTTTTGGAATCAGAATCTCCTTAGTTTCTGGCTGTTCCCTTGATGAAATGCTCTTCCCGCTCACCCCTCCCAGATGACCTGGGCTTAAGCATGACGTCGCGAAAAATCTTATCAGGTAAGCTGAATGGATTAAATGGGAAGACCTGTCTGGGTTGATTGTTGTGTTGTTCAATGTTGAGTACTATTGGGCGGGAGGTTAACAACCCTTTTCTTGAACCCTACTTGAACGCAGAGAAGGAGGGGTAAAAAAGTCCGGATGGGGAAAGGGCTGTACATTGAGTTGAGTACTGATTCAAATTCTTTCAAAAGTATAAACGGTAGTGTGTAAGCATACTACTCGCACAGAAAGCGTCATTTTACGAACTTTCAAAGATGACTACCCTTCTTCTATACGCTCTGGGCTTAGTGTTGAGGAAGAGGATGTCCCACCACCAACTATATTTTCACCGTACATTCATTAACGACAGACTTACATTTGGAATATTACACATTTTGAATAAAAAAAGAGAGTTTATCCATGGCAATCTACCGGCATTGGGTTTACTGTAACCGACTGATCCAGGACTCTCCACACAACGCCAGCTTGGATTACATAAAGATCAAACTGCTGCGTCGGGAGAGCTCGATGCAGTCTCTAATGCTTCGCTCGATTGTATGAAATAGAAGAATCCGCAGAGAAAGCAATTCTTCGAGGTACATAGAAATATCGCACCTACAGCTTATCTGAAAGGATAAAGAATAGAATCTTTGGGAGTCAATCGATCCCGGGTGAAGTATACATCCCGCATATAACTTCCATTAAAAATCTTAGGGCGTATTGATGCGTATGTGGCGTAAACAATGTCTTGCGGTGGCTACCCGATGTACAAGCCAGTGCTTTCATCCTTCCGGCCGAGTATGATACAAATTGACCGACCCCGGAGGGATGGAAGACTTGGTTGACATGGGCGGATATCGATCTGGGATTCGACCATGCGTGTGTGGATAGGGCGTCATTTGCCACTGATCCATCTCCCACTACTATCTGAACCACAAAAATTCGTTCGAGGCTGTATGATTGTAAGGGAAACCGAGTAGGGAAAGAAGCGTCGGCAGCATCGCTCCGAAATGAATGCCTGGGAAGCTGAAATAAATGAAGGAAAAAGAACTGCATCAACACTTGAATATTTCAAGCAGTTTTGTGAACAGCCACATTAGAGAGTTTGGATAACTCTGATCACGTGAACCATAAGGTTAAAGGGACAGTTCACGATAATTTTCCCGACTAGCGGAAGTATAGGTTGGGAATAGTTCATCGGTGGTGAAGAAAGCGTGAGAATTCGCCGATTTCGAGGGAAAAATGGCTCCTCAAAGTCGGAAAAATAAAGCATGGACGGGAATGCCATTCCGGAAATAACATGGAAGGTGTATTTGGACGAGATTCCAGTTGATTGTGCAAAGAGCTGACTACATCAAGCCAGAACTGTACAGAACTGTATTTCACTGTCGCTATGGGTCGTGACAAGTTTTTTGAACTTCCTACATGGGTTCCTTGTGATCGGTGCAGTCTCTATAATGTCGCTGAAACTCGGCCGAGGAGGATACACACCCGCCAATCTTTGAGCCTTTATAACACCCTAACTAGGCCGCTTTCCAACCTTATAGCGCCAGATATGGTATACGAGGGGGCCACAAATTCATCCTATAGGGTAATCTCAGAAACCAATTTTATCGTGAACTGTGCCTCTAACCTACTCAATATAACCAAGAAACGCACACGCATTTGATTTCCATTCAAAATCGCAAAGGTACATGACATCATGTTCAGTTTATACATTTGCTCTCACAGACCTATGAATAACATGTATTTTCTCTCCCTCCAAATAAACTGCAATCCGAGAAAGTAAGCTGGCAGATAGGTTGGCTATGCACTGTTAGGTCTGAGTGCGAATTAGTCGCACGCGACTAGCGGTGAAGGTGCGCGGCGAATAGTACTGCCATGACTCGTCCTACCTCCTAGATGTACCGCGCATAGTCATCAAACCCACACAAACGTCTTCGCGGACCGCCCTGAGTAATCTTCTTGTTCTAGACTGGTTCCGATCAGGAATTGGTGGCAGGGGTAGTACTAATTGGTGACTCATTAGATATGAGCCCACACCCCTTCTGGGCGAGGGCAAGCTGGCATGAGCTCCCTCGAAGCCAACTCCTGAACTAGACCATCGCATGCGTCGATCTGCTATCTCTTCTTCGCGACGGAAGCTGTTGTACAAATGGCCGCGAGCACGATGCTCTCGGATGGGCGGTGGGTCTGCCTCCAGCCGCGTGTCACGAAGTGCGATGGGTATTTGGAGCGCGAAATGTACGGGTCAAATTTGAGTAATAGCTGCGCGGTACCATTGGGAAATACGTTCAATTCAGTTCGATTTGGCGAGATCTCTATCGAAGCTTTGTGCCAATTCTTTCATAATGAAGATGGCTTTTAGCTGGTGCACTAGCACTGCGTTCAAAGCCACTTTGTACCAACTTGGGCCAGCATCTATTCCTAACGAACTGCCAACACTATGTGCCAGCATGGGTCAGCATCTACTTCTTACAAGCACAGTTCGCGATAATTTTGAGGTACTTGGTACAAGAAGGATAATGGAAGTGATCGTCCAGAATAGTGCGAAATTGGCGAAGAAAACGCGAATTTGGCCTATGAAAGAAATAATATAAGGCTTCGAAAAAGTAGTAAAGATAGGAGGAGTTGGACAATAATGTGACGACGAAAGTTGCATGAAAGAGGTATTTGGACGAGCTGTTCAGGTAAGGCTGCTTTTGCCTATAGCTGGGCACAGTAAGCTGCCTGCGTGCGACGGGTCGGTCCCGATGCGAATGGTGCAACCTCCGCAGATTCTGCAACGCCGAGAACTCGTCCATCTTGGCTGTGTACGTCGGTTAAGCCGGTTTGGGGGGGGGGGGGGGGGGNTAAGCTCAACTGGTCCGTTTGTCGACCCAAAAGTGTCCCTTGTGCTATCCTTGAGGCTCACAAATTCATATCAGGCAGAGATTTCCGAAATCATTTTTAGCGTGAACTGTGCCATTAGTCAGGGATGCTCCGCGAGAACGAGGGAAAACCAAAACTACAAGCTTATCTGCTCCACCTTATTCTGAACAAGTGTCTGGGCATTCACTGCAAAAGTGAGTTTTATGTTTTCGATCAGAACGCTGGACCCAGTTGAGGTGATCCGGCAGGAACAGATGCTTTACCACCTTATTTGCAAATATCAAGCAATTCTCCGGATTTAGGATCGATAATGTTAATGTCTAGCTTCAAAATGTTTAGAACTTTCCCAGGCTGCACTAGCGTTATCGCACTACGATCTTATGGAGCAAATGCCGCCACGGCTACGCTTGCATCCACTGATCGTTTGGTTCATCGACAGGTCTTTTTCTTTCCATTTCTTCATTTTCATTTTCTTCTCAGGTCATGCATTACTCTGTGGCTTAAAATGGAATATATAGTCCGCACAATTGCCAGTACTGATGTCGTGGGAACTGGACATTCAAGATCCTCCTGAGGTCTGATCAGAAGCGTTCCCACGGCGCCAACGGTGTGAGCAGCAATTCTTTGTTTCTTTTCAGTAGCTCTAAATTAGTACTATGGAAAAATTTCACCATTATTATTTTTTAAGTTCCGAAATCGCAATGGTCCGTAGTGGTGATCGCTTCAATGGCCATTGTATTAGAGGCACAGTTCACGTCAAAGATGGTTTCTGAGATCTCTTCCTTGCATGAACCTGTGACCCCCAAGGATAGCCCAATGAACCCCGTTGGCTAGATAGGGCGTAATAAGGGCCTCAAAAATGGCTTAGTCAACGTATACAGGCTGACGAGTTCGTTGTCAGCTATAGAGGTTGCGCTAATCGCACCGGGACCCACACGTTGCATGATGATAGCTTGGTGCAGAGCTGTGTGCAATGGCGCGAACATTTGAAAAGCCCGTCATAAGACCCCTTCCATGCAAGCTTTATCGTCACACTACCGTCAAACCCCTGATTTTACTTCTTTTCGAAGTATTATGACACTCTGTCTATGATATGTCTAAGTACGCTGATTTTTTGCGTTTTTTCGCGTTTCTTTCTCCTTCTTTGTACTAATCTAGACCACCGCACCCACTAATCATCGAAATTAGGTACCCAACATTATCGCGAACTGTGCCTAAGAGAGCCGTCGAGGAAACCCTAAAAAGGCATCATTTTTTCCTTCTTTTTTCTGTAGAATCATCATTACCAACCGGGTCGGGGAAAAGTTCCGCCACCCGTGTGGTCCCTTCCATCGCGATGCCCATTGGACGCGGTTTGTCAGCTGGACCACTCGTCCAGGTTCAACTTTCTGGCCATGCTAGTCGGTGCAAAAAGGCAGAATACAAAAAGGTCCGCAATTTAGTGTCTGACAGTGGTGGTCCCATCTATCGGGCGTATATCAGCTGGATAGGGAGTGGGTTGGTCGATTAGCATGATCAGGAGGGTGGATCGCGTGGACGAGTCGTCCATCTCAGAAACAGCGCGATGCGAGGGGCTGGCTATGTGCTGACAATACTGGACCCCAATGGCTCACGCGCCAGTGCAGTCAACAAGTGGCCAGCGCCGCCGTCGGTTGGACGCGCCCTCGTCAGTTGCGCCGTTGAAGTCTGGCGGCAGCTATCTAAAATCCGTGCGCGGGAAAGTAGTTCAGACGGCTTACCGCTCTCCTGAATGAATCGATACTCGAACATTTTTTTACTCTTCAATTCAAAATCTCGCGCGCGGGAAAGTATGTGATTCAGACGGCGTGACGCAGGGAAGGAGCGCCGTTGGTACTCGAACTTGTTTTCTACCTTCCCTTTTAGTACATAAGATGACATGCCGTATTGAGGTCTTGAAATCATAATCTTGTGGGGATGTTTGTGTACGGAATTCAGTTATACTTAGTTGAGAGAACGTCTTCTGAATTTTCATCTCCAAAACTGGCTGGCATCGGCTGGTAACGGTTCCCGTGCCACAGTTTCTTCCCATACAATGCGATTTTACTCTGTGATCAGGTGCTACAGTTATTCAAAGTCAGTTCAGGAATTTCAGCTTTCTCTCCGATCATAACAGCTCTAGCGGTTGAGTAAGAGTATGGCGAAGAAAAAGAGTCGCGCTCTGAAAGAAAACCTTAGTCCACAAACTCTTGATACAGTGAGTTTTTCACATCTAGAATTTCGTCTATTTTAAGTTGATTTTTAACGACTGTATGTAATGGTAAGTTTTCGCTCACGAAATGATCAGTAAATTCCACGAAATTGACACAAATATTGTAGGAACTTGAAGAAGTGCAGAAATCTTGTAAAGACAATATGAATGAAGTACGAGACAGTAGCCAACTTGTCAAAGAGTACGTACTTGTTTCCTCGTTCTCCTTTTTATCGACACATTTTTTTACGTTGATTTACTTGTCATCTGTATCACCTAGCTGTTTGGCTTTTGTGTGCACTTGTATGAAGATGTAGGTAGGTGTATGATGGTGCAATTGACGGCTGGAAGTAGACGGTACCACAATTTGTTTTGAAAATTTTTTGTTGTGTCAAGCATTTTCAAAATATTTTCAGGAATTTGTCGTTAAGGGTGCAAGTATTGAGACTGCAATGCGAGCGCCGTTTGATTGAAGAGGTTGTCAATCTTTTCTTTCAAGTTCGATAAAATTGTTATTCATCAATTTTCTTTCAGAAAAGTCCCAATAACATCGCTGCCGCTCGTGCTACTTTGGCAAAAATAACTGGTTCAATTGAGTTTTGGTTTACGGTTACCTTTTTCATTGAGCCCCATCTTTCAGATTTGGAACGTCAGTTAGAATCGTGCGGGTGCGTGGTTTTAAGCTCTCAAGTGGATGCGGAGCAGTCTAATGGTGCATCCGCACGTGGAAGTCGCATTTCGCTATCGGTTACTATTTCAAACTCCGATTTTTATTTCGGCTTTTGACTAGTGACTGAAGCTCAGCGATAGAATATAGCGACATTTTCTTGATGTCATTCGCGTAGAATACTGTTCAGGGACGTCCTATAAAGCTTGAGTGCGTGGAAGAATTGGAAGGAAGCGCTGTTCAAAACGGAAAAGTTGCTCAGCGCAACGGTTCTGCGGAAGAACCCCCAGTGAATGTAGTGGAGCTATCAGGAACTCAAAATATTTCTGAGAGGTTGAAGTTGGTCAAAAAGAGTATCAAACGTTCAAAGGCGAAGAAGACAAAAAGTAGCGGTGAATGAATGGTATTTGTATTCAGTTTTGGTTTATATTCAATGGACATATATTTTCTCATTAAAATAAGTTTTTGAATGTCAATTCCAAGAATAGCACTATTTTTCATATCGTTTCATTCTAAATTTAGGAGTGCCGGAGGCACAACCGTGTGGTACTGATGAACTCAGTGAGAGAGTGGAAGTACGCTGTGCCCATGAGTTTCCAACAGTGATCGGGATCAGATCACCAACACTGCGTTCTCGGCTTTCGCGTCCATGCGAAAGCCCTTATTGTCACAATAAGAATGAGATACGTGAGAAAGGTCTGATAAATGATGGGCACCAAGATGACAGTCGCCGCAAGCGCCTTCGGCAAGAAGAAGATGCTCTAGAAAGAGAGCGTGAACTTCTTCGGCTTGATCGTCTCCGGTTGGAGGAAGAGCGTCGTCGAATCCATCAGCTACGTCAGGAACTTGCTGAAGCGGTGAATGCTGACGAGAACCATAAAAAGTCCTCTTCATTAACGAGATTTTCGGAGAGGTATGTAATTTTACATAGGAATTGAAAGCCAACTGCACCTCGCGATAATTTGCATGTTTGGTTTGACAGATGCAGAAGTGTGTCGCCGATTTGTCGTTCACTTCGTGATAGCGACCCATTCCGTCAGCCATTGTTCGATGAGAATAATCCAAAAAGGTAAGATCACAGCTTGGGGAGATTGCCGGGAGACGGGCAGTAAGAACGATTCTGGGTAATCGATCCGCCGCTCGCGGCTGTCGCGTACCACTCTCTCGCCGTTATTACGGCGTTCTTCATACAGCTCAATCGATATGCGATCATTACTTTAGGAATGATTCTTCTATTAGTTCTTTTGTTCTTGTATTTCTTGCCTGCTGCTGCATCCTGCTACGTTCTTTCGCGCGCGGCGTCCCTCTCGTCGCGACACGGCAATTTCGTTCCTACTGCACCACACCCAAGATTGCCACTTGTTATGCTGCTTCGAGTAAGTCAGCAGAACAGTCAGTATGCCGTAGAGCATTTACTCATTTGATAGCCGTTATAACTTGATTTCCGTGAACGTTAAAGATGTGTCAAATCCCAAGCATGAGGTTCACGTATTTAATTCTTTTTTATTCACGCAGAAATGGAATTATCCTTCGTGGGTGGCTTAATTCATGGTTCATTTGATAGCACCTTAACGATAGCGCATCAAAGAGCTAAGTAGAGTATTTGGATGATAGGCAGACATCCCTTTCCGATAATGTTCGCTTGTTTACGAAGCAGTATACTACCACAATCTGGATGTTTCATTTTTGTTTGGATCCTAGACCTAACAAACTTTAGAAACCTACCACCGGAACGAGAACGAAATATTGAGTGCGAAAACTTCCCTGGTTATAGTCTCCTGGGCAGCCGTCTACACCCGTTGTGCTGCCTTTCTGAGTGTGCAACTTGGAAGTGAGACTTCCTTGGGCGTTTTTCACAATTTCTCGAAAAGTTGCTTTTGCTGAAACCAGAAAACCTTTTGTAAGATTTTTTTACAGCTGGACAGGTGAAGAGGAAGAACCCGTTAGTATGAAAATTTTACTTTTGATCAATGCCACTTTTTATATCTATTGTTTACTGTTTTTCAGATATTGTGGAAGCCGCCACAGTGTCATGAGTGACATGCCCGAAATATCGAGTGAGTTAATGATCCTTCTCATTGTTCTGTTGTTACACCGCTAACGTAAGTACTAACTAGAAGTTGCCTGTGTGCGGCTGATTTTGCCCCCTACGGTATCATTAACCCATTGACGACCATGCAGTCCACATGTGGACTGCAGTTGTATATTTTATTTATCGCCACTTATTAACGATCTTTCTTGTCAAAACATAGGATCAGGTCGAAGTTAAACTATATACTGTGTGGTCCCAAGAAAGCTAATTTTGCAATTAACAGATAATAACAATAAGCATAGACATCATACATACTTATATTTTAGCCTTTGGTTTCCAGGGTATATCTACCTTCCGCACTAATTTAGACAGTTTTACACCACACCGGTGTCTTTTTGAAGAAACATGTGACCCTTCAATGATTTCTTTTTTTGAAAAGAATTGGTGATTGAGGAACTTCTCTTCATCAGAATCCATCACTAGCTGACTAAAATTGAAGTGCCACCTACCATCATCGTTAGTCATATCCTAAATTTGCAAACTCAGAAAAATTAAAAAGTTCCAGTTCAAAATTAAAGAAATTGGCCGTGCGGGACCATGCAGTCCACATGTGGACTGCAGTGATGGTCGTCAATGGGTTAACAAAGGGTTGGTTCTAACTCGGTAGAAGTTGCGGCTTAGAGGTGTTATCTAGTTAGCCTGATTGTTTTTGAGCTCTTAAACCCAGCATCTCTCTACTGGTTTTATCATCAGGATTCTCAAATGGTAACAGAGGCATTTCCGGCTGAATCTTGTAAAAAGTGTTATGGTATTGAGTTCTATGCGCACTTCCTAAGACGGGATCCAACATGTATCTGAAGCAAAAGTTGGCTTTTCGTTTTTACGGCTATTTCTAGGTAATAAGCGTCTTCATGAATCATGCAGTCACGATCATTATCATTATGACTCGCCATGTGATTGCTGTAACTGCTACTGGGGAAGGCATGCTGTGCAAGGAACTCCATTATTTGGAACCAGCCGAAGCGCTTATGAATTTGGTCCAAGTAGGATCCTTACTTTCGCTTTTACGGCTTTTGGAACATTCTGTACATTCCATTCGCGCTTTTAGATACGAGGAACGCAATAGAACCACGCTGCAAGTACTCTAGTATTGAAGAGAAAACTCGTGTAGACTTTGGGCATGGATTCACTGACCATTTCTATTAGTGATCTTCCAGAGCTCAGTATTTTTTATTACAGGAAGACTTGATAAAAGATTTTTTACTTGTTATAGAACTTGTTCCATGGAGTTTGCTACAGTTTGCTGTTTCTCCAAGCTTTTTGTTGTAATGTTCGTTGGTTCTCTTTTTTCTATTCTTTTTACTTTGTTCCACTTTACCATGTTTTTGTTACTGATCACACATTTATTTTGAATAATATTTTATAACGTTTCTTCCTCACATCTCAAGTGATCTGTAATGGTCATAACCTACAATATTTGAAGAAACTAGGAGATTTATTCGAATTCATAGGTCTTTTTCATTGGAAAATGTGGGCGATATACATCTTTTACCAATGAAGACATAAGCAGAATTTGAGTAATGGCGAGAAGCTGTCACCATGTCGTCACTGTGAGCTGAAACTATGCCAGATATTGGTAATCGTCTGGCTGTGTAATTCGATCAGCGAAAGTATTTGGGATGATATAGCAGGTAGAGATAAGGGGTTAACGGATACTTTCTGGTACCGCGGGTTCGCTTCATTGTGATGCTATAGTTGTTCTTAATTTCTAAGTGGTACGAATGAAGTGTTTATTTGTCGCCACTTACACTCTCGGCAATGACTTGCTTTAAGGAGAATTGGTATGGAAACAACTCAGAATCGTTTTAAAAGCTTATGTAAAGCTCCTATCCACGATGGCTGGAACAAACGCGCTGACTGCTCCGCTATTAGCAACTTAGGTTAGTCATTTATATGTTATCTGATCTCGGAGGGTACTGAAATCTTTTCCCTCAATGTTACATTTCTGTATCCTCCTATAAACGCAGCTGGTGAGTGCTACAGTAGAGCTGTTCTATACTTTATAAATCTTTTTTTTTTCAAATTAAGGCTTTCTTGTTCTCGATCTCCTGCCTATCGCACACATGTTCGGGTGAACCACTTTCAGCTCTCTTTCGAGCTTGGCTGGGACTGGGTGAGTAACCAGCTACTCTCTTACTATTATATATCGGCATATAACTGAGAGGAGATTTCCTTCTATCGTCAACGCGTACATAGTGGTCCTTGTAGCAGGATTTAAAATTCAGCAAATAGGCATTGACCAGCGATGGCTAAACGTTTGGTGCTAGCGGAATGGGATCAGTTCACCTTCTCCTTCACCCATTCTCCCCTGCCACATACACACGCAAGGCGTAGAGTGGAAAAGGGTAACGATTGTGTAATTGTTGCTAGTAAAGGTTTTCCAGGCTCTGAAAAATTGCCTACATGCTCTTTTGACATTGCTATCACACAGATTGTGCGTGTGACCTAAATTTGACCTGCAAAAACCAGCTTTTTATTAAACTTTCTCTGAAAAAATGATTTTCCTTCTTTTTTGTAGAAGAACTTTTATTAAATTTTTAAAACGGAATCTCGTCATAGCACTATAATGAAATCCAAACATAAGTTTTTTTTTTAAAGGGTCTAAGATCACTGTTCAACCCTTGCTGATCAGTTGGACAAGTATGGAACAATCCTGCCCGAAGATTTGATTCTCTCGATTCTATAAGTGAATGTTTAGATGCCTTCGAAAGAATGCCAGTCCCTCTGCTCAGTCGGCGACGTAATCAATGAGGACAAATGAGAAGACGTTTCGAATTCGTTTGTCGCTGGATGTGTGTCGTTGCAGAGAAAGCTATCCCATGGGAGCCGTAATGGATGGAGTCGCCCCCGGCTGTTGGGGGCAGTCTGCCAAAGCACAAAGATTGCCTGGTGCCTCAATCCGAAAATCAAGTGCCACTGCTCAGGTGAAGTAAACTTAACAGCTGGTTGTATTGTTATTGACGACAGAGGTGTTCTACCCTTTGATAATTTAACCGATAACTTTATTTCTTAAAGGAGATGTACGTCTTTTGTCCCGTATAGGTTTTTACACGGATCCTTTCAAAGTGGTACACTGCTGGCCGGCGATATTTTCAGAAAATTTGCGAATTTAGAAAATTAATTTGACTAAAGGAGAGATGACTAAGTAGATGTTCTTCAAAGAGCGTAATTTACGATAATCCGATTTTCTATTAGCACTTCCGACCGCTGGCAGTTAAAACCTTTTACAGTGATCTTTGAAGCAGTCATGATTTTTCAAAGTTGCGTGGTACCCATGGAACGGTTAATAGCCCAATCCTTCCACTACAGTTACAGCAACGTACTACCTAGGGAAGAGGCTGGATTTGACCAATTTCTAGTGGGATTTCACTTCAATCGTGTTCGCGTGGTCGAAGGAGTAGTATTAGGCATGGACCAACCAAACTCTGATGTGATGGCCTTGTGCTCGATAGTACGACAAAATCCATCATTCAAAGGGTTTCGGTGTCCGGGATAGTTCATCACTCAGAAGACAAGGTCGGGCTCGCTTCTACGCCTAGCGATTAGCTATACTGAAGAAGTTTACAGCAAATGAGGGCTATGCACGCAACTCTATGCCAGCTTGGGACAGTGACGAGTAGCGCTGCTACCACACATGTGGTCTGTGGCTTGAATCCGCGACCCGAACCCTTCTTTCACGGTCGCCCCTCCGTTCGTAGCTCTATCCAGAGAAATGGGTGCAGAAGCAGAAAGGTGTGTGTGTCCCTGAACCTATTTTTCCTCCACTTTTTCCAACCCTCCCAAATGTGTTTCTTTTTTCGTGTATTGTACATCCCTGAATACTTGTTCACATCTGAGAAAAATCAGTAGAAACACGTCAATAACACCATTAGAAATCTCAACAACGACGCAAACAAAAGAGTTTTTGCCTTTTGAAAGGAGCATGTGGCGAAGCACGTGTTCCAATGCTCTTGCAGACACAACAATTACTGCCAAGGTGAT